TTCAGCAAAACAAATGCAGGTTAAGATGGCGAAGGAAGAAGTGATAAGTAATATGGAAGGGTATCGAAGAAGTTGATCCAGTCAACTGAACCTGAATCGTTTCACTGTCAATAATTAATTTTTTTATCTGTGCTGCCTGAAACACATGGTGGCCTTTCTTGCAGTCGTAACCAAGTAGTTCGGACGTGAAATACCACTGGATAATTTCCACTCTCAGCTTGCCACATATGCGAGAGGTGCTAGCAATAAATGGACAGCACTCTGACCGTGGCCTTACACATGTTCTGCATAGAATGGACTCGACTTCATCGTAGTGAAAGTTCCTGACTATTCATTTGAAGAGCATCCCCAACATTCGGGCCTACGATGCCACTTGCTTCCATGCCTTTCTAGTCTAGATCTGTTAGCACATTGAAGTGTTAATTTTATGTCAGTTGAGGGTGCACTGAAGCAGAACCAGCTATATTTGTTCATATTGAATTGTAGATTACATAATGATGAGCAGGCGGTCACTTTACTGTTTAAATGCGTTCTAACGCCAAGTAGAGCGACATGATGTAATAAATCTGTAATGAGCTTGAAGTGGAAAGAGCTTCAAATTGCAGTGTGTGTAAGTATCAAAGAATTTGTCAACTCAACTAGGCCTCGACAATCAATTCATTTATCCGTGATGATTGAATTATAACATTGCTGACGGTTGAATTTCAAGGTACAAGAACTCGTTTCCTGAGTCGTAAGGTGACTGCATATCCCTTAATTCCCCTTATACTATAGAATTAAAATACATCCTTGAGCAGCAGTCAATACTACTTCTTCCCTTCGCTAATTCGGGTGGTGTCAAGAGCAGTTTGGTCATCACTTCACGTGTCTTGAGTGAAGATATTGGCAGGTGGTGTGGTGTAAGCGCACGTCCAGTAGGTTAGACGGCCTAATCACCGTGTACAAGATTGCCAATGATATGAGACACACAAACAATGGTATTGTCCCACTAAGCCATCACGGACCTTGTGGAAAACACGATGGGTCGTGCACTAAAGGATAAACAGTCGAATGTGCTCCGATCTCATTTCGATTGAAGACTGTTGTCTCTGGATCGATTTACCAACAAATGTAGCTACTGCTTTTTGGGTAGAAAGCTGACTTATCACTCAGCAACTCCAGGACCCAGTCTCCTTTGTCTTATTCTCGCGATTACTCCATTTGCTCACTTTTAATTACGACGTTTATTCATCTATACGTTCATCAGTTTTTATTTATGTGTACCTTTTTAGTATTATCTATCTTTCCGACTGCACCAGACTACCAACGGGTGGGAAATAACCTCACTCACAACAACACCACGATCTCCACACACCGTATTCTGAAAATCACACATAACCAATCTCTCATACCAGTCCCCTTTGGTACAGACAAGCTACGGCAGACAAGTAGTTAGAGGAACCACGCAGAAACTCAATAAAAATCAGGAACATCTGCATTAAAATTAATGAAATATTTTAAAATAAACAGTTTAGTTTATACACACTAGTATTGGGAATTGGAGAATGGCGATTCTTTGAACTGACGCGCTACTTGTAAGTGCTTCTCGTGAAAGGCGAAAAAGAGTATAGATGGTCCCAAGGTTATGAGTATGTTACCACTTTTGCTGGTAAAACTTCTCTGTCCGTTAGTTCCGCGTTGAAAATTATTGTTCCTTTTCTCATTTTGCATGTTTTAACTTGTTAAGATCAATTTCTGTCACTTTGTTAAGTGCAGTTGACATTACGTATCCCCGTCAACTGGTTGGTGGAGCTATATTATTTGTTGTGAGATGTCCATGGTAATTATGACCTATCGATTTATGATTAGGGCTAGAATAAGGGGTCAGAATAACGCAGAGCCGTCACATTAAGCAGTCTAAACATCTAAACAATTTATCAACAAAATTCCGGGATTTTTACAGTTTTTCGTTGTGGTTGTTTGTTCAAGGCTGTTTAGTGGTTACTACAGTTAATCTTTAACATACTTCTCAGGGTGATATCCAAATTCACCATGACGACCTCAACAATTTATCAGACTTTTATTTATTTTTTATTTTTAAGCTTGTAATTCCTTACAAATCGGTTCCAAACAACCGTTGGTGTTGATTAACTTTTCTCGAAGTGTGTAAAAATGGGAAAGACTGAAATATATTGAAGCAATTCCTTACCAAAAAGTTGCCAGCGTTTCTCACTTCCAACTTGGGTTTCTTAAGGTTCATTGCTCAGCTGTGCTCATAACGCTACCTAGCTAGCAAAAGCATCGGGTATACTTAAGAGACACCAGGACAAAGAATATTGGGGGCACATCAGGGCTCATGTAACCAAGACTCTCAACTATATACTAACACCATGTAATTTATTACTATTATTTTTTGATTACAGCTTGATTCCACACGTATTTTTTGGTACAGGTATGGAATTTTCAGCATGTGATATCGGTAGCCCAAATTTTACAGGCCGACCATAGATATCGGGTGTGCATCGGCAGGGGATCAAACCCCGGACCAAGTGCATGGTCGGCGAGAGTCATAACCACTGTGCCACCGACGCACATTCTTTTCTCAACACATCGACCACTCGATACTAAAAACAAGTGAGACTTTAAAATACGTGTTAAAAACATAAGTTACACAACTTCTAAATTCATTTGCATTTCCCTTCGTTTTAGATAACGCCGAACTCTTGGTTCTCTATAGAATTTTCCAAAAAGCGGTCCCTATTTCATATGTCCGCATATTTCAGAGTTTCATTCGATCCATGCATCTCATCTCTCTAATGAACTAATGTTAATGTTACTGCCTGAATCGTTTCGTCTAACAACCATTCGATGAAAGAATACTGAAATGACGCAACTGTAGGTAACTTAGGAAGCCGTAATGGCTATAAATGGATAAGTATGCTGCAAATGAGTTGTTTAGGTGTAAAATAACTAGGTACCCTACATAAGGATTATAAATCAAAGGTAGATTTACATTAAGTGAGTATGAAATGGTGGTAGATATCGTCAAACTGCTGCATATTAGTATAGATTTATGCAAATGCAGATCGGTAAGCATTACAGTCAATATAAAAGAAATCACTAAATGTTTTGCTTTCTCCCTAATAGGAAGAAAAAGTTTCATTTGAGGATCTGCCTGTCTAAGCCACTAGGCCTATGGTCATTGAAAGGCTGAGTAGAGCTCTGGAACATTTAACTAAGTAGGTTTTAGTCCTTAACGAGAGTGCGTTAACCATATCTTCACTTCTCGGCATGCTTAACAGAACCCACATTTTTTGAGTCAAAAGCGGCATATAACGTCATCGGTCGAGGAGTATCGTGTCAATATTTGTCTGTAAAAGTGTCAAGGAAGTACATTATTCTAAGCGAGAGGCCAACTTATGTCATCCCTGGCGTAGACGTGATATCCGGCTGTCGACCATAAGACATTTGTGTTGCGTAGCAGTTCCCTCTGTCCTCCTTTATGGTTCTGAGACGTGGTCATTGAAAGTGTAAGATATGAAAAGGCTAGCTATCTTTTACCACAGCTGTGTGCGTTCTGTCTCACGTTTTAAGTGGTATAATATGGTGAATAATATTGAGGTTAGGCGCATAGTGTTAGGTAAAGAGGGTTAATCAGTCAATTGTGTTGGTAAGGTGAATCGATTGAGATGACTAGGACGTATTACGCATGCCAAGCTGCCGTCCTTCTGGTCGAGCAATGTTAGCTGATATACGGTAGTAAAACCAAATCCTGCATAAGTTCATGAGGCCTTTACTGACTGACTGCTTTCAACATAGAACTTTGCACGATGTGCAGCAGTTCGAGCCGCAACATTGCATGTAGCACACAGCTTGAGAAAAAAGTAAAAAGAAATGCAAAATAGAGACATTAAAGAGAGATATGAGGCAAAAAGAATAGTTATATCGAAGAACAATATAGTTTTATTGGGTATTATAAGTCACAAGGAGTGGATGCATCTGCACCAGTCATTGAGAACGATTTTGAGCCATATCACTGACTGTCTCTACCCTTCACTGGTTTTCACCATTCCGAGGACCCTAACCACGAAGTTAACATCTCCCTATGTGGCTTAAACTAACTGTTGTGGATTTCATTGACTAATAAAGCCATGTTTTCGTTTGATCACCACTAGCTTTTTTCCAACCTCATCCTGTCAGCTTACATTGCCCATCGGAAAAGGCAATGGTTAAGCATGCGTAACACACGTCCTAACCATCTCAATCGATGTAACTTCACAACCTCATCGATTGATTTCCCCTCCTTACTTAGCACTCGACCAAAGCATAACTTCAATATTGCTCACCCTATTATACCACATAGCACGGGAGATAGAGTGCAGGCACCTATGATCAAAGACAGCTAGCCAGCCTTTTTATATCTTCCACTTTCAATGGTCATGTCTCACAACCATAAATGAGGAAGCAGACAGCAAACCAATCAAGAACCAATTACCCAACAAATATGCAGTGTGATAATGGAGGTAGAGACCGTGGAGTGACACCGCACAAGTGACCGTCCAGTGGAACCCTAATGCTAAGTGAGTAACGATTTCGGTGTCTGACGGTAACACGGTGATGATCATATGAAGTGGAAATAAAAGCTTGCGGGCAATCGTAGAGCCAGCTGAAAAAAATGACAGACAACAAAGTACAGTGGAGGTAGGTATGCTGCGGAATCCCTATGTTCCACTTGGAACCTAAGGGACAATAACGTGGAAAAAAACCTTATGCCAATACTTTGTTTTGTTAAGACTTTTTTTCAATCCTCGATTACACTAGTAAAAATTACATTATCCTGTAATATTAGAAATCAGTTATTTTCATTAAACCCTATTTAAATTTGTTAGAGAAGAGTAGTAATCAGTTTTATGTTAGCTTTGTTTTTACTTTTAATCGTGTGTTTTAATTTATAATAATTGATTTTGTTTTTGTATTATCTAAATCCATCTAATGTTTAATTTTTATTCCTTTGGTTTTAGGTTCTAAAGTGGTTATGTTCTTTTAAAGCCTAATGATTTTAATCACTACTCTAGTGTCTAAAAGATTATAATTTCTTTATAGTCACTTGTTGAAAATATTCTCATTTCTCCTAAATTAATCAATCAATTAATTAACTAATTCGTAAAGACAATGCCTAGATTTGCTCAGTTAGTAATTGGACCAGCTGGTTGTGGTAAATCCACCTATTGTAATACAATGCAAACACATTGTGAAACATTAAAACGAAGAGTTGATGTTATCAACTTAGATCCTGCAGCTGAATACTTTGAATATACACCATTAGCAGATATCAGAGATCTTATTCATGTAAGTAGAAGTCTTTTTTAAAAAAAATTTATAATCTAAAATATCTATAGTTAGATGATGTCATGGAAGATGAAGCAATACACTTAGGTCCAAATGGTGGACTTGTCTTCTGTTTAGAATATCTTCAACAAAATTTGGATTGGTTAGATACAGCTATCGGTGATATTGACGGTGATTATTTATTATTTGATTGTCCTGGACAAATTGAATTATATTCACATTTACCAATTATGCCAAGAATCATTGAATATATGCAAAGAAAATGGGATTTTCGTTTTGTAACAATATTTATTCTAGATGCTAGATTTCTTGTCGATTCATCACATTTTCTAGCTGGTGTCCTATCTGCTCTGTCTGCAATGGTATCATTATCTACAGCACATATTAATGTTATGTCTAAAATGGATTTATTATCAGAACAAAAACAAAAATATGTTATGGCAAGATATTTAAATCCTGATATGGATTATTTTTATGATTTGAATCAAGTATTCGATGCAGACAATGATAATGATGGGGATAAGAATGGTGGTATTGATAAAGACAGTGAAGATAAAGTACCATTCAATAAATTATCCTATGCACTGGCTGATTTAATTGAACGTTATAGTGTAGTGCATTTTTTCCCATTGAATAGAGATAAAGAAGATACAATAACTGATTTATTAGTACAAATTGATCATTGTTTACAATATGATGAAGAAGTTGATCCATCGAATCGTGCTTTTGATGATGCTGAACAAGAATTAATTGGATTTCAAGGTGATGGTGACGGCGATTATATGGGTGGAGGTGGAGATGATACACGGGACTCTGGATAAAAAGCACCTTTGACGCTGATATACTTGTATATAAATGTAATAAATATATATCTATAAAGTAATACCCGTATTTCTTGTTCTGTTTTTCTTTTTTTCTAACTCGTACAATAATGTCCTTTTTCTTCATGTTATTTATGCTTATGAGATATAATTTGTCTTTTCTTTTTAGATTATTTCAATAAACTATGAAGCTCTGTTAATACCAACTGGTTGTATAATACTCTGGTTACTTGAAATGTACTAGCATGCATGTTGTGTTATTATTAATCTATTAATCTCATTTAGATTTTGCCAGTATGTTAACTCTCCGTCTCACTTACATTTATTTCTGGAAACTATTACACATGGATTAACCGGTTGTCTATTCTGGTTGTGTTGTTTAAAAGCTATACACAATAGACTATTAGAGGTTACTGTTAACTGTCAAAGGATTATAATGATTGCTGAATCATGTTTTTTGGCTGGTGTTATTGCTGTTCTCCCGGATATTGATCATTTTATAGCTGCAAGAAGTACAAGTATTGAAGTATGTAACTTGTTAAGTCTTTTTTTCATTCTTATTACGCGTTATGTTTATATTTTTTGAATGAATGAAGCCAGTAGGCTTAGCCGTATATATATATATATATATATACATTGCGTAATTCACATGTTATAAATAACGTATTTGAATAAGACTTAAATTTAAACTCGATGCCTATCACAAAGGTGATCCACAATGGAAAACTCAGCGAAGCTTCTGAAGTTAAAACAGGAGTAAGAAAAGACTGCTTGCTATTACCGATGACACTGTTGATTGTGTTGGATTGGATCATGCGGCAGACTATTGGGAGCGAGAAGACAGGAATACGTTGAGCTGATAAGAAGATTCTAGAAGATCTGAACTTTGCAGGTGATATATGTCTAATGTTACATGAACTCAAAGACTTACAGTTGAAAACCAACAAGTTGTCAGAAGAAGCAGTGATGACAAGACTTCAAGTAAACGTAGAGAAGATGGAGGTGATGTAAATAACTAACCAACTACAACAAAAGGCACCAACCACTATCAACGGAAGAAATCTGAAACAGGTCGTTTCCTTCACTTATCTGGCTAGGCAGCATCGTTTCAACTACAGGCAAGAGCACGGATGAAGGTATCGAAGTCAGGATCTGAAAGGTAAAGTAGACCTTTATCACTTTGAAATCAGTGTGGAAATCTACTGCACTCAGTACAAAGAACAAAATCCTAATTTTCAATACCAATATTAAGTTATTCACTTCTGTATGGCTCAGAAACTTGGCGCTGGAGTCACGAAGAACATTTCTAACAGGCTACTGCAGACTGTTATCAACAGCTGCCTTCGCCCAATACTGAATATCAGATGACTGTCGAGAAAGGATAAACAACAAGGGTCTGTGGGAAAGAGCCCACCAAGAACCTATTGCCTAACAAATATGTGGAAGTAAATGGAGATGGATCGGACATAGGCTGAGGAGACAGATCGTCAGGTGACGTTGCGCGCCAGGCCATCACTTGAGTGGAAGCCAATTGGGAAATGACGAGTTGGGCGTGGGTCTGAGAGTGACAAGGAGATTGTGCAAGGAGATGACAGAGTATATACACTTGTAAGACCAGATGTAGAAGTCTGCAGAGAAGAGGACAAATGGAGAGGTGCCGCTGAAGCCTTATGTTCCACTTGGAACTCAAGGGAACAGCTCTATTAAAGTTGATCAAAAGACCAAAAGTGAATTACTGGTGAATTATTATACATAAAACATCATTTATTAGAGATTTTTTGAGTTAAACTAAATCACTGAACTAATAACTTTCTTCTTGTTTTTTTGGATCAAATTCCTCTACCATCTGTTAATATTTGAAAAGATGAATGTGAATCTCTGAAGCGATTTTCAGAGAGAGAGAATAACAAGCGAAATATTGGAATTTCCTAAGGGACTCGAGTTCCGGTTACTGCATATAATTAGTACCAGCTAAATACACCCAACAGATATGTAGAAGGAAATGGAGGTGGATTGGACCTACGCTGAGGAGGCTTTCATGCAAGGCACGCTACTGAGTAGAACCCAAATAGGCATCGACAAGTTAGGAGTCCGACAATGACATAAAGAATGTCAAATGAGGAGAAAAATGAAAGCTCATGGGCGGTTTCAGAGGCAGCTGAACGTAATGCGAGAGAACTGAATGCAATGGAGATGTGCCGCTGAGGCGTTATGTTCCACTAGGAATATAATAAATGACTAGTAATAATATTAAACAAATAAATAATAAAAATATGGTAAATAATTTTATTTGCCATTTCTATAATTTAGATTAAAAATCCTTGGTATTCTGAGTTTCTTGGTAATACATCGGTAGCATCATAACTATCACAATACAAGACAAATTAGATCCATCAAGCATTGAAACTGATTAATAGATGGAAGTAAAAGGTGAATACAGCTCACATGAAAGTCTTAGCTGTAGTCGACCTTTCCCATAGGAGTCCCTTGAGTAGCTTAAAGCTAGGCATTTCTCTATTGTATGACATATACTGTCGTTTATATCATATGCTTTACGACTAGTTTCCTTATAGCACACAGTTATGGTGTTACGTTCTCGTCCCCCATACGATGTAACTACTACGCCTACTGTAGAAGTTAAAAGTGAAGATAAACTTTTGTTTCAATGCATTTTTAATGTTTAAATCATCTTGTCTGCAAATTAAAATGTATATTTTCTTTTCAATTCAACAACTAAAGAAACCTATAATAATACATTTTGTTTAAGTTAACTTTTTTTCTTCTTTAGCTAAAGAATAATTGTGTTGTACAGTTGTCCGCACAGTGGTGCAAATATTGAGTTAACAATCATTAAGTTGTCTATCGTTTTCAATGACTATACCGTGTTCAGCTTTCAACCATTGGGTCATAAGTTTGAGAGATCCACACTAGCTAAGGAAATTTAGCCAACTAGCTAACCATTGTAGCTTTATTTCAAACAGCACTTTTGATATAATGTAGAATTCCCAGTTTGTGGTACAATACTGCACCTAGTTTACGCATTACAATGGTAGTAATTAAAACAGGGCATTTACATTGATAATATTGTCCAATAAGAGTAGGAATATCAAATTAAAATTAAAAAGGAAATATGAACAACAATATATAAATGAAAGAAAGAATAAAGAGAACCGTTTACTCACTGTTTCTCAGTAAGTTAGTAGTGTCATGCCTCCTCTCACCACATAAAATGTGTCCCGAATAAGGTATCCTAGAGTTTTTATACTTTGTCCTCCGAGCATCAAGTCTTCTGTAGTTGCTTCTAGTCCCACGTGATGAGATGTAAGGTGAGAGTTGTGTATAGAGAGGATGCTCAGGGTCTGACAAGATAATATTGGCTAATTTCATGCATGAGTCCATGTGTCTGTCTACACCAGTATTAACAAGTTGGTTTATCAACACCCCATCAACTCACCCTGCTATAGAGAGCTTTTAGTATCCTTCACAGTGTAACAAAGTCTTTCTTAAGTAGCCCAGGAAAGATTAAGGGCTAGCAATAAAGAAGAATAGTTAGAATACAAGAATGAATAAACTTAGAAAGTAGAGACTGATTGATACCAGACTGTTTTAACTTCCTTACGTAGAACGTTAAACGGAATGTCTTTCTAGTGGGAAGACCATGGAAGATCAGAGTATCATTAACCCTCGCACACACACACACACACAATAAGTATGGCTTATTACCAGCTGTATACAAACACAAACAGTGATTGATTAACAACCCTGTCGTATTATTATTATTATCATCGTTGTAATTGAATACCACTAACAATGTGTTTTTTGTTCTGTTTGTATATCTCATCTCTATTACAGCTTGCTCGTCAACTTCCCGGCAGACCATTTTTACACTGGGCTGGTATACACTTGATTATTTATACAATCCTTATCATCGTTTCATTTTTTCTACCATATGTAAATTGTTTACCAGGACAGAAATATTTCGCTATTTTTTGGTTAGCTTTTATCTCCTATCTAAGTCATATTGTTCGTGATGCCAATCGACGTGGATTATGGTTATGGCCACCACCAGACTATCGTACAGGGATGATGATTAGTCGTAGTAATTCATCAAATTCTTCAGGGTATAATAGTATACACTTTCCTAATGATTTGGGTATTCTAACACCGCTTAGAATACCTTTATTTTATGCACTTATTTTATGCTTTATTATTCCAGTATTTCGATATTATGCCTTTTACTTACAATGGAATTTATCCAGTTTTGTCTTGATAACAACGTCTTATTCTCATTGTCGTCGTGTAAGTGACACTAACAATCCTAATAATCTAGGATACATATACAGTGTATAAAGTCTATAGCTTTAGAAATATTTCTATTTTATTCTGTCAGTTATACCTGTGATATTTTCTACAAATATTCTCTGTTCAAATTATTATTATTATTACTATTAATATTGTTTTTATTATGATTTTTATGATAATACACAAGACTATTGTTGAATACTCTTTGTTTTGATATTTCTTGTCTATGCTTGTTGATGTATAAATAATCTTGTGTTCTTTATCTTGAATTGGTGAGTTATTTTACATAGGGGTGGGTGGGGGGTTACGAGGTGTGCGGGTCAATCTTTTTAGAGATACCACTATAGTTAATAAGAAATATATGAGGAACAAGATCGATATTAACTTGGGATTTGTAAACAATAATTGATGAAAACCAGTAAGGAGTACTTGGTAGCTGTTTCGTCCTAGTTTGGGACCTTCATCAGTACAAAGCGATGACCCCACCTGGAGACCGAACTCAAGATGTTCAGGTTACGAGATGAACTTGTTGACCATTCAGTCAGTGGGATGGAATCCAATTGTCCATCAATCAATCGAAGAGGTTGTGAAGTTACACTGATTGAGATGGTTAGGGCATGTGTTACGCATGCATGACTAGCCGTCGCCTTCCTTGCCCGACGGGCAGTGTTAGCTGACATAGGATGGATCAGGTTGGAAAAGAATTAGCTAGTGGTGGTGGTCAAACCAAAACATGGCTTCATCAGTCAATGAAATCCTCAACAGTAAGTTTAAGCAAGCTAGCCACTTAGGTAGGTGTAGACTGCTGACTGGTTGGTGTCCTCGGGGTGGCGAAAACCAATGGCGGGAGACAATTGGTGACATGGTTCAAAATCCTTGTTGTCAATGGCTAGTGCATATGCATTCACTCTTTGTGATTTATAATATGCAGTGGAATTCTATTGTTCTTCCAGGTAACTATTCTTTTCGCTTCATATTTCTGTTTATTATCTCTCTTCTCTTGCTTTGTGTGCTACATGGAGGGAGTGTGACAACTTGAACTGCTGCACATCTGTGCAAAGTTCTACGTTGAAATCAGTCAGTCAGTTCATCAATTTTAACTTTTGTCAATGATTGTTTAGTTTCACTGTGGAAAGTGCTCCGATGATTATTGCCTGTTAACAGAAATCAATAAGCTACATATATACTGCAAAGAAGAAAAGACCGAGGAGGCTGGAAGGAATGTTTATTTGGTGAAACGTATTGTACATAGGTAAATTTGGTATACCATATTTTCAAACCGCCATTTGCACATCATTTACCACATCCTTGACGAATTGGTCGAATATCGTCACATTCGATAGCTTCTTGGATTCTGCATCATATGGCAACATTCTTCTCATAGTTCTCTTCTTTGATTGCTCTTTCCAGTGTGCAAAACATATTGTTACTTTTCTGAATTCGCTTTCTGATATACTACTTATATCGGATTATAAGTAGCACTCACCACACTCTCCCCCTCATTATAAAGTCTCTCCTGTAACCGCCTTGATCGCCGCACAGACGTTCCATCCTGCTGTTCTTCAGGTTCCTCGTCTTGACATTCTTGTCTCCATCTTTGTAGCAGACTGGCGTTTACTCTTTTCTCTTTATCTCCTCTCTTTATTGTGTACACTGGACCGCGTCTCGATGTGACCACATATGGTCCCTCCCACTTCGGCAGAAGCTTTCCTGATCCTGGTCCACTTCCGGTAGTATACTTTCGTTCTCTACATTTCACCTGGTCGCCTACTTCAAACAGCTTCCAAGCTTTGATTTGTTTCTTGCCAGAATTTTCGATGTCTATCTTGCGCTTCTCTTGTATATTCTGAATAGCTTGTTTCCGCTCACTTGTCCATCTCTTACTGTTCCATTTTTGTTGTTGTGGCCAAGTCTTATGGTGCACCGGTAAGCGTGGTTTCCTCCCATACATCAGCTGGAAAGGCGATTTTTTTGTTGTCCCTTGTATTGTGGCACGATGTGCCAGTAATACCAACGGTAAGTCAGTTTCCCAGTTGCCTCTTTTCGCAGCTAGCCATTCCTTGAGTGTACGATTATTCCTTTCGGTTAGGCCGTTTGTCTGCGGATGATACGGAGTCGCTCTAATTCTCTTAATACCCAGTGCCTCCAGACGAGTCTTGAACTCCTCACTTTCAAAACAGGGGCCTTGATCTGTCAATATCATTTTTGGTACACCATGATCCGCCACAATATGTCGAATAACCGCCTCGGTTACGGTCTTGGCGCGCTGATCTGGAATCGCTACAGCATTTACCCACCGCGTGGCGTGTTCCGTCATCATTAAAATGTATTGATTTCCACTGGCTGTTTGAGGGAAAGGACCCATTATGTCCACGGACCATAAGTCACCAACCGCTGTTACGGGTATCGTTTGTAGCTGTGGTTGAATGCACCGATCACCCTTCATCAATTGGCACTGTGGGCAAGCGAGTACGTAGTTCGCAATATCGCCTCTCATGTTTGGCCAGTACGCACTTTGGCTCACTAGGTCGTATGTTCGTGCAACTCCTGTATGGGCTAGTTGGTGGCATTCTTGAATGACCCCACGACGAAGGCTTTTTGGTATCACTGTAACCCAGCTACCATCACTGTCTTTCCAAGTTAGGACGCCGGCAGCGTTTAGTTTGAGTCTATGTTTTTGATGCAGTAGCATCTTTAACTCTCTATTCTCTGCTGCCATTTCAATTTCTTTCCCTTCACGTATCATCTGAATGACTGTCTTAAGAGTAGGATCCGACTTCTAGTGGCGAACAAGTTGTAAGGGATCTTGCTCCAAAGCGTTTACTGCATACGCTACCTCTGGTAGTTCAGTCTCATTATCTGATCTCGACAAATAGTCAGCTATTACATTTTCTTTTCCTGGAATATGTCCAATCGTGAAGTCATACTCTTGTAGGCGTAACATCCATCGTGATAACTTCCCTCGTGGATCCCGTGCTGTTTTCAACCACTGAAGAGGTTTGTGTTCGGTCTCAATGTGGAATCGGCGGCCGATCAGATACGGTCTCCATTTTTCTAGTGCCCATACAATGGCTAAACACTCCTTTTCCACCGTAGAATACTTCTGTTCTGCAAGTGTCAACACACGGCTAGCGTATTCAACAACCCCATCCGTTTGTCTTAAAACAGCACCTATACCATAATCACTGGCGTCTGTCGAAACTGTGAACTGCTTCCCCGGCGCTGGCAGTTTCAACGTCATCTGTTGACCATCTAACAGCTCTTTAATTCGCTCAAACGTTTGCTGTGCCTCTTCCGTTCACATGAATTTCGCGTCACTCAGCAACGTATATAGCGGTTTTGCTATCTAATTGAAATTTTTGACAAATCGGCTGTAGAATGCCGCTCTTCCCAAAAACTGTCTCAGCTTTCGCTTTGAATTTGGCACTTCGCTGGTTTTGACCGTCAGGATTTTCTCAGGTAATGGCCGTATTTCTCCATTTCCCACTTTGTAACCCAGGAGGACAACCGTGTTTTTGGCTATTTGGGACTTGTTCTTATTAATCCGCAGTCCAAAGTCATCAATTCTCTTTAAGATAGCTTCGATGTGGTCTATATGGTCGCTTTCCGTCTCACTATACACCACCAAGTCATCTCCATATACTTCTACGTTCTTCAGACCCTTCAGTAATAAGGTCATTAATCTTCTGAATGTAAATGGGGCACCTACCAATCCAAATGGCATTCGTTTAAACTGGTATTGTTTCTGCCCAACTGTGAAAGCTGTTTTACTTCGATCACTTTCTGCTATTGGGATCTGCCAGTAACCCGATCTTAGGTCGAACACGGTGAATAACTTGGCTTTATGAAGGCGATCAAGGGTTTCTGTTACGGTAGGCATTGCACACTGTTTTACTTCGGTGAGGCTATTCAGCTGTCTGAAATCGACACAAAATCTATACTTCCCGTTAGCTTTCTTTACCAAAAGGATTGGCGAACTGTACGGGCTGTCGGCTTCTTCGATTATTCCGTCGTTTAACATTTCTCTGACTTGTCGGTTAACTTCTTCTTCAAGGTGAACCGGAACTCGTCGCGATGAAAAGACTGTCTTCCCCGGATCCTTCAGTGGGATGTTATGCTTTACCTTATCACAATAACCGTACGGGTCTCCATCACTAGTGAATAAGCCGGCATATTTACTCATCAACGTGGTTAGACGTGGTGCATCTTGCGGAACAATGGTTGTGGTTTCCACCTCAGCGACTTCACTATTCTCATGTATCGCAAATTGCCCGTGTTTTGTGACCACTTTTCTATTCTTCATATCGATTACAGCTCCTACTTCTCTGAGAAAGTCTGCTCCCAAAATCGTTCGTCTTATATCAGAAGTTACAATAAACGGATATCGTATTTTCCCTGCTCCAATCTCTACAACGCAGTCTGAAACGCCGAGAATGTGCAAAGGATGTCCTCCTACCGTCTGAACTGCTAATGTGCACGGCCTTATTTCCTTACACTGTTCTCTATCTATCAACGAAACTGCGGCCCCTGTGTCGATCAAACAAACTAGTTCTTTTTGGTTAACCCGTAATCTCCCGTACACTGAACCTCTTTCGACTAATCCGACCACCTCCAAACGCGAGCGAGAAAAAGAAGAAAGGTTGTACCGTTTAAAGTTTTTTTGCCTTCGTTTCGGGCAGTTTCTCTGCCAGTGGCCGGTTCCTCCGCAAGCAAAACATCTGTTGTTTTGTCTTTTCCTTATCTGCATAGCCGCCACCTGCTGTTTCAACTCTTCAATCTGGTCTTCGATCTTCTTGGAATCTTGGCACTCCGTCATCACTGGAGCAACATGCGAAGTCATTATCTGCCTTGTCACCTTTGCCATTTCATAAACACCCATTGGTTGAGCTGCGTTAACTAGCTGCAACTGATGAGCGATATTTGTCGGGACGCATTCGAGGAACTGAGATGCAAGCAACTGCTCCCGTGAATCTTCGTCCAGGGTGGGTACCGCGCGT